GTTTTTGGGCTGAGGCGATGGGGTCTTCTAGGTATACGATCATGTCGTCTGCAAATAGAGACAATTTCGCTTCCACCTTTACTATTTGAATACCCTTTATTTCTTTTTCTTGCCTGATTGCTCTGGCTAGAACTTCCAGTACTATATTGAATAGGAGTGGTGAGAGAGGGCATCCTTGTCTAGTACCAGATTTCAAAGGGAATGCTTCCAGTTTTTGCCCATTCAGTATGATATTGGCTGTTGGTTTGTCATTAATAGCTTTTATTACTTTGAGATACGTTCCATCGATACCGAGTTTATTGAGGGTTTTTAGCATAAAGGGCTGTTGAATTTTGTCAAATGCCTTCTCTGCGTCAATTGAGATAATCATGTGGTTTTTGTTTTTGGTTCTGTTTATGTGGTGAATTACGTTGATAGACTTGGGTATGTTGAACCAGCCTTGCATCCCTGGGATGAATCCTACTTGATCAAGATGAATAAGTTTTTTGATTTGCTGTTGCAATCGGCTTGCCAATATTTTATTGAAGATTTTTGCATCTATGTTCATCATGGATATTGGCCTGAAGTTTTCTTTTCTCGTTGGTTCTCTGCCAGGTTTTGGTATCAGTATGATGTTGGTCTCCTAAAATGATTTGGGAAGGATTCCCTCATTTTGGATTGTTTGAAATAGTTTTAGAAGGAATGGTACCAGCTCCTCCTTGTGTGTCTGGTAGAATTCGGCTGTGAACCCATCTGGACCTGGGCTTTTTTTTGTGAGATAGGCTCTTAATTGCTGCCTCAACTTCAGACCTTGTTATTGGTCTATTCATAGTTTCAGCTTCCTCCTGGTTTAGGCTTGGGAGGACACAGGAGTCCAGGAATTTTTCCATTTCTTCCAGGTTTACTAGTTTATGTGCATAGAGTTGTTTGTAATATTCTCTGATGATGGTTTGAATTTCTGTGGAATCTGTGGTGATTTCCCCTTTATCATTTTTTTATTGCATCTATTTGGTTGTTCTCTCTTTTATTTTTAATCAATCTGGCTAGTGGTCTGTCTATTTTGTTGATCTTTTCAAAAAACCAGCTCTTGGATTTATTGATTTTTTGAAGGGTTTTTCGTGTCTCAATCTCCTTCAGCTCAGCTCTGATCTTAGTAATTTCTTGTCTTCTGCTGGGTTTTGAGTTTTTTTGATCTTGCTCCTCTAGCTCTTTCAATTTTGACGAAAGGGTGTCAATTTTGGATCTCTCCATTCTCCTCATATGGGCACTTATTGCTATATACTTTCCTCTAGAGACTGCTTTAAATGTGTCCCAGAGATTCTGACACGTTGTGTCTTCGTTCTCATTGGTTTCGAAGAACTTCTTTATTTCTGCCTTCATTTCGTTGTTTTCCCAGTCAACATTCAAGAGCCAGTTGTTCAGTTTCCATGAAGCTGTGCGGTTCTGGGTCGGTTTCTGAATTCTGAGTTCTAACTTGATTGCACTATGGTCTTAGAGGCTGTTTGTTAAGATTTCAGTTTTGCATTTGTTGAGCAGTGCTTTACTTCCAATTATGTGGTCAATTTTAGAGTAGGTGTGATGTGGTGCTGAGAAGAATGTGTATTCTGTGGATTTGGGGTGGAGAGTTCTGTAAATGTCCACCAGGTTTGCTTGCTCCAGGTCTGAGTTCAAGCCCTGTGTATCCTTGTTGATTTTCTGTCTGGCTGATCTGTCTAGTATTGACAGTGGAGTGTTAAAGTCTCCCACTATTATTGTGTGGGAGTCTAAGTCCTTCTGTAAGTCATTAAGAACTTGCCTTATGTATCTGGGTGCTCCTGCATTGGGTCCATATATATTTAGGATCGTTAGCTCTTCTTGTTGTATTGATCCTTTTACCTTTATGTAATGGCCTTCTTTTTCTCTTTTAATCTTTGTTGCTTTAAAGTCTATTTTATCAGAGATGAGAATTGCAACTCCTGCTTTTTTTTGCTTTCCATTAGCTTGGTAAATCTTCCTCCATCCCTTTATTTTGAGCCTTTGTGTATCCTTGCATGTGAGATGGGTTTCCTGGATACAGCACACTGATGGGTTTTGGATTTTTATCCAATTTGCCAGTCTGTGTCTTATGATTGGTGCATTTAGTCCATTTACATTTAGGGTTAATATTGTTATGTGTGAATTTGATACTGCCATTTTGATTCTAAGTGGCTGTTTTGCCTGTTAGTTGTTGTAGATTCTTCATTATGTTGAAGCTCTTTAGCATTCAGTGTGATTTTGGAATGGCTGGTACTGATTAATCCTTTCTATGTGTAGTACCTCTTTTAGGAGCTCTTGTAAAGCAGGCCTGGTGGTGACAAAATCTCTGAGTACTTGCTTGTTCGCAAAGGATTTTATTCTTCCTTCACTTCTGAAGCTCAGTTTGGCTGGATATGAAATTCTGGGTTGAAAGTTCTTTTCTTTAAGAATGTTGAATATTGGCCTCCACTCTCTTCTGGCTTGTAGTGTTTCTGCCGAGAGATCTTCTGTGAGTCTGATGGGCTTCCCTTTGTGGGTGACCCGACCTTTCTCTCTGGCTGCCCTTAGTATTCTCTCCTTTATTTCAACCCTGTTGAATCTGACGATTATGTGCCTTGGGGTTGCTCTTCTTGCGGAATATCTTTGTGGTGTTCTCTGTATTTCCTGCAATTGAGTGTTGGCCTGTCTTGCTAGGTGGGGGAAATTTTCCTGGATGATGTCCTGAAGAGTATTTTCCAGCTGGGATTCATTCTCTTCGTCGCCTTCTGGTACACCTATCAAACGTAGGTTAGGTCTTTTCACATAGTCCCACATTTCTTGGAGACTTTGTTCATTCCTTTTTGCGCTTTTTTCTCTGATCTTGGTTTCTCGTTTAATTTCATTGAGTTGGTCTTTGACTTCAGATATTCTTTCTTCTGCTTGGTCAATTCGACTATTGAAACTTGCGTTTGCTTCGCGAAGTTCTCGTATTGTGTTTTTCAGCTCCTTTAATTCATTCATATTCCTCTCTAAGGTATCCATTCTTGTTATCATTTCCTCGAATCTTTTTTCAAATCTTTTTTCAAGGTTCTTAGTTTCTTTGCCTTGATTTAATACATGATCTTTTAGCTCACAAAAGTTTCTCATTATCCATCTTCTGAAGTCTAATTCCGTCATTTTGTCACAGTCATTCTCCGTCCAGCTTTGTTCCCTTGCTGGTGAGGAGTTTTGGTCCTTTCTAGGAGGCGATGTGTTCTTGTTTTGGGTGTTTTCCTCCTTTTTGAGCTGGTTTCTTCCCATCTTTGTGGATTTGTCTGCTGGTCGTCTGCGTAGTTGCTGACTTTTCGTTTGGGTCTCTGAGTGGACACCCAGAATGTTGATGATGAAGTATTTCTGTTGCTTGGTTTTCCTTCTACCAGTCTAGCCCCTTCGCTGTACGACTGTTGAGGTTTGCTCCAGACCCTGCTTGTCTGGGGTGCACCTCTAGTAGCCGTGGCACAGCGAGGGATGCTACCAGTTTCTTTTTCTGCTCTCTTCGTCCCAGGATGATGCCTGCCTAATGACAGTCTTTTGGATATAGAGGGGTCAGGGAGCTGCTTGAGGAGACAGTTTGTACTTTATAGGGGTTTAATTGCTGAGCTGTGCACTCTGTTGTTCATTCAGGGCTGTTAGGCTGCTATGTTTGATTCTGCTGCAACACAGCTCATTAAACAACCCTTTTTTTTTTCTCAAATGCTCTGTGTTGAGGGGTTCGGGTTTTATTTTTGGATGTCCGATCAGGTGTCCTGCCCAGCTCGAAGGCAGACTAGCCACTGTTTGGCTGCCGAGGCTCCGCCCTGCTCTTGTGTGATTCGCGCTGTTCCTGCCGGCTCTGCTGTGGTCTCCGCCACTCCCTGCGGTGGAGTCTCTTCGTTGTAGCGTGTTGCCTCAGCAACGGCAGGCTGCGTCAGCAGTGGGCGTGTATCTCAGTAGGGACGGGTTGCCTCGGCAACGGCTTGCTGCGTCAGCAGTGGGCGTGTATCTCAGTTGGGGTGCGTTGCCTCGGCAACGGCTGGCTGCCTCAGCAGTGGGCGTGTATATCAGTTGGGGCAGGGTGCCTCCGTAGTGGTGGACGCCCCTCCCCCACAGAGCGTCTCGGACCGTCTGCCTGGGATAGTTTGAAATCGCAGTTTTGTTCGTCCCACTGGGTTTCCCAAACGATCTGTCCCTGCAATCCCCTGGGCTGGGCTACTGTGCAAGTCTCGTTCAGTCTCAAGTCCAGCCCTCTCAAGTCTCAGGTTGCCGGTTCAACAAGGCACCCGGAAAGCGCACCCTGTGGGGATTGCTGGGTAGGGCCGGCCGCCGCCGCCCCGGCTGCCGGCTTCGCCAGGCCGACCTACTGCCTGGCGTCCCGTGTCTTTTTATACTTGGGAGTTTCCCCGTTCTGTGGGCAACAAAGATCAGTCTGGAAATGCAGCACTGACTCACTGTTTGCGGATTCAACGTGGGCTCCAATCCTGGGTTGTTCTCTCAGCGCCATCTTGAGTCCCCTCTCATATAGCTGTCTTTTATCTGTGCTTAATAAATGTATAATGTTAAATCAAATAGTAACATCATGTATTTATAATCGTGCATTCTTACATATACTGGGTATATCAATGAAGAATAAATTGTGACATCTTATAACAGATATGACCAACAATAAATGTATAATATTCATTTTGGGTTTTCAACCCTTTATTTTCTCAGATGACCTACCACCCCAGCATAAAAAAGTATTTATGACATAAATATTAGGTCTCAATTTTTGTGGTGTTAATAATACAAATCTTCCCAGTGCCATATTCTAATGAAGAGTACAAATAGAATTCCACTGATACCACTTCTTTATTGAATAAAATGTTCTTGTCATATTAAATCTTATTTTGAAGCATATATTTAACTTTGAAAAGCTAAAACACAGTTACCTTTTTCTTTTAGTTGTTATCTTTCAATTTGTTGGAATAATGGGGGAAGTAGCCCTGACATTATACTGAGATTTTTTCAACACTGTTGTTTCTCTGTTTTAGAATGCAGTGACCTGGAGTTCAGGGAAGTGGCAAACCGATTGCGGGACTGGTTCAAGGCCCTTCATGAAAGTGGGAGTCAGAACAAGAAGACAAAAACCTTGCTGAGGCCTGAGAGAAGCAGTAAGATATCTTCTATTTGATCATTGCTACTGTATCATCATCTGATAGGAAGTTTTATTTCCAGCGAACAACTTAGAACAAAACACACATTTCAGTATTTATTCACTGTGTATATACTGAGTAAAAATCAGAATATTATTACTTCCAAGGACACCTGTATTATTTTGCAAGGAAATAAGGTTTTGGGGACAACTCTCATTGGAGGAAAAGGGAATGTCTCCTCAGAGGGTGTTTAGCTTTCAGAGAAATAGAAAGAAGGGGAATATCCTTCAGTGTTTTATTAAGGTGCTAAAGAGTAGAACAACCAGAAAATAAAGGTAAAATATTGGAGTATTTAGATTTTTAGAGAATACAACAGGACTCCCCCATGTGGTAGCCTTTTTAAGATTGTTTTGCTGATGTCTCTATTTTGACCCTCTGTGAAATGGATCAGTAGACAAGAAAGGATATTGGCAAATTAGATAAGTAAAGCAAACACAGAAGAGAAAAAGGAGCCCTATACCTCTTACAATATATATATATATATTTTTGAGACAGAGTCATGTTCTGTCACATGCTGGAGCGCAATGATATGCTCTCAGCTTACTGCAACCTCAAGTTGCTTCTCAAGTTCAAGTGATTCTCCTGCGTCAGCATCCTGAGTAGCTGGGTTTACAGGTGCCCACCACCACGCCCTGCTAATTTTTGTATTTTTAGTAGAGATAGAATTTTACATTGTTGTCTAGGCTGGTCTCAAACTCCTGACCTTGTGATCCACCCACCTTGGCCTCCCAGAGTGCTGGGAATATAGGCGGGAGCCACCGCGCGCAGCCATAAGTTGTTGCTGTTGTTGTTTATCAGTATAATACTCTAAAAGATTTTTTTTAATTCCTTGGAAATAAGTAATACAAATTGAAATAGGGTACTTGTTATGAATAATTTTGTAAACTTTTCATTTTATATTATTATCTTTTGTATAAAAACGTGTGTATTATTTAAAGCATATAAAACGATACTGAAACACAGGCTGAATCTTTCAAAGATTGAAGCATGTACTTCAAAACACAAGTAAAGAGGAAGGAGCAGCAATTATGAGCCACATCTCTTGGCTGACACGGAAGAGCTGTCTGTGATACTCATCACCTATCATGACGTGATCCATCCACTTTCACCTGCTACCCTCAAAGTGGAGTTTCTAACAAAATTATGTAGTAAGATCACATAATCCTCTATACATACCTAAAATGCCTTATTTTTGTTTTTACATTAAGAAATTTTCTACAATTTCAACCTATTGTAGTTACAAATCTAATTTGCATACTGAAACGATTTAAATGCAGAAGGGTAATTAAGCCATTACCTTTAGGTTAGTAATTGTTTTGAATGTGTAATGACTATCCATATATTTCTTTTTATTAATTTCAGGAAGAAATTATAGTCTTTTTCATATCCTATAGGAGAGTCCCTTGGGCTTACCTCTGGATTTATTAGTTAATTTTTTGGAAAATGTAAATATTTTGATGACTTTTAGCTTGAATTTGCCTAATAGAAATAATGATTCAGTATATTTGCCTCTGTGTTTATGAAGAAAAGATGTCTGGAGTAGGGAGGTTTATTCCACACCCTTATATATTGCTTTTTGAAGATTCATGTTCACACCTGTTTTTAAAATTCGTATTCACTCCCAATATTCATACTTGAACATTTTCATTGCTTGCTCTAAAATTTTTCCTTTGAGCTTGAGTTCAGACTGATGCTCCCTTCCAGATACAGACATAGATAATGGAGAACATCTACAACACTCTGCAAGGTACTGGGCAATTGTACACGTTCATAAATATCTCCCTTTCTATTTTTTTCTGTCAATAAATGCCATAAGACTCTCTAAAGGTAGTAGATTAATTGTAAGAAGCTTCTTCAGAGTTGAATATTCACAGGATTATTTATACAGCTTGAGGAGTCAGAAGCCAGCTAGAAAAAAAAATTCCAAAGGGAAGTTATTCATTAGAATAGATATGACAAATCCATAGACAAGACGTGGCTGGCTCCTTCAGTTCCTCAGATCTGTGCACCCTCTGTGGAAATCCAACATCAGACTCCCATCTCCTTTCTATTTTTATTCTCCCTTCAGAGGTTTTATTAGTTCTAATATAGTGATGACCTACTTGTTTATTTAATTGTCTCTCTCTTTCGCAACCAGAGTACTTTAAACTCAATGAAGTCAGAAGTCTTTATTTACCACTGTATTGCCAGAATGTAGGATATAGTTTAACATATAGTAGTCACTAAATAAAACTGAAATGAGTTAACAAATGAATGAAAGAATCAAAGAAGCAATCACTTTACTACATTGTTTAGCTATACAATAGTCATTCAGTTAGTGCCCTAGGAATGATTATTGATGGTATTCATTATTTTCTTTATGATAGTAATTAGTGTAGTCAACTTGTATGTTTTTATTTCTAAGAGAAAGATTACAAGAAGTGGAAGGCATAAGTCAAAATGTGCATACATTTTAAATTACATAAGATCATAGATATTGCCAGACTGATTGTAAAAAGTTTAGGGCATTTTGCATTTTTACCAGCAAGACATGAGAGTTAACTTTTACCTGCATCCCTGATAGCAAAAAAAAAAATCACCATTCATTTTAACTTTTTGATTCTGATGAATATGCTCTTATATTTCATCGTTAATTACATTTGTACTTTTTTTATTAGTAGTGAATTTGAATATAAAAACTGGGAGAAAACTACAAACACAGTTTTGAACTTATCTGACATTAATGTTATCACCCCTACATTCCATTTCATCAAGTTTGTTTAATATCTTTGTTAACAATTTTGATCAACTTTCCTTTATTACATGCATTTAAGTGTCTTTCTTGTGAAAACCCAAAGTTTGGTTTTGATTTCTTAATATGACAGTGAGCAAACATTGGAGTGTTTCAGTTTTTTTATTTTTAATAATTAAGGATGTAGTTAAGTCCTCATAAGGCAGAGAAAAATAATCTGATAAGTTAGCAAATCAAAACCACATTGAGATGCCATCTCCTGCCAGTTAGAATGGCGATCATTAAGAAATCAGGAGACAAGAGATGTTGGAGAGGATGTGGAGAAAGAGGAACCCTCTTACACTGTTGGTGGGAATGTAAATTAGTTCAACCATTGTGGAAGACAGTGTGGCAATTCCTCAAGTATCAGAACTAGAAATAAACACCAGCAATCCTATTACCTGGTATATACCCAAAGGATTATAAATCATTACATTATAAAGACTCATGCACAGGTAAGTTTACTGTGGCACTATTCAAAATAGCAAAGACTTGGAACCAACCCAAATGCCCATCAGTGATAAACTGAACAAAGAAAATATGGCACATATATACCATGGAATACTATGCAACCATAAGAAAGGATGAGTTTGTGTCCTTTGTCAGGACATGAATAAAGCTGGAAACCATCATTTTCAGCAAACTGCCACAAGAACAGAAAACCAAACACTGAATGTTCTCACTCATAAGTGTGTGTTGAACAATGAGAACACATGAAACAGGGAGGGGAACATCACACACCATGGCCTGTTGGGGGTGGGGGCTTAGGGGAGGGATAGCAGTGGGTGGGAGTTAGGAAAAGGATAGCATTAGGAGAAATACCTAATGTAGATGACAAGGTGATAGATGCAGCAAACCACAATGGCACATGTATATCTATATAACAAACCTGCATGTTCTGCAAAGGTACACCAGAACTTAAAGTATAATAAAAAGTAAAATAAAATGATATAGAATGTTTGCCTTCCAGCATTTTATACTGAAACCAAATTAAAACGTATTTTACAATCTCTTATTCATAGCAAACAAGAAGTCCAATAACATTTTGTCATTTTAATAGAGAAAAATCAAATTTTAGTTTTGCATCAGTAAAATATTTGATCCTATTTTTAAAAATCTTCTAAGAAACCTTTTAAAAATTAGTCAACATTGACCATGAAAAAATAATGTTTAAGGAATCTTTATAATTTTTACATTTTATTCATTACTTAAAAATTTTTAGAATGATTAGTCATTTTCTATTAGGATAGCACTATATCTTTTAAAAAATGTCTTGTATATCTTATTTATAAAGTTGCCTTATGGCATGATTTTTCCTAGGAAAACCATTTATAATTTTTAATTATAATAATTTTTATCTTATAGCTATAACTATAAGATGGATAGTTGTAAGGTTTGTCGGCATTTTGTAGTAAATAAGCAGATATTTTGAATATAAATTTTATACTTTTTAAATATTCATATCCTTCTTTATAGTATAACATTTTAATCTGGCAAGAATCAACATGTTTATTAACAGAGCCAAGTATATACAGCTTCTCTATAAAAATAAGAGATGAAAAGTATATAAATTACAAAGCATGCCTTTGTGTTTTATCATTTTTAAAATGATCTAGATATTACATTAGATATTAAGTAATACCTATTGACTAACTTAATATAATATACATCTAACATTTTAAATTACCAAAAGTTATTGGAGATTTATTTAAGTTGGCTTTATTAGGAAACATAATTACTGTTTAAATAAAGTTTGTCATTTACATGATTTAATTTAGTTAAACTTTCATGCTTTTTTTTTTTGAGATGACATCTCACTCTATTGCCCAGGCTGGACTGGAGTGGTGCCATCTCAGCTCACTGCAACCTCTGCCTCCTGGATTCAAGCAATTATCCTGACTCAGTCTCTCAAGTAGCTGGGACTACAGGCACATACCACCACAACAGCTAATTTTTGTATTGTTAGCAGCAACAGGGTTTCACCATGTTGGCCAGGCTGGTCTCAAACTCAATCTCAGTTTATCCACGTGCCTGAGCCTCCCAAAGTGCTGGGATTACAGACGTGAGCCACTGCACCCAGCCAAATTTATGTCTTTTTATGACACAAACACCTAGATGTAATGCTAACTAATTGCATCAGTATACCTATACAAGTTTAGGAAAAATATATCCAAATAGAATAATAATG